GTATAAAAACGAGCATCTTTTAGATCACCTTATTGGTTGTTGTAGATTCACATATGGTTTATGTTATTGCATGTTAATGTTTTTTATTACTGATTTAAACTTTTAGGATTAAAATAAACTTTTTCAAAACCTTCTATTTCATGATAAATACATAAATAAAGTCTAATGGTAATGGGTTATATGTGTTTTAGTTATACTGTTTTTTCAATATAAAAGACCAAAATACCTATTATTTAACGGCAGTCTTTAACGGTCCTGACAACCATGGACCATTTCCTTAACATAATGCAAATCTTGATCATGTTTCTACAAAAACCAAAATCTCTACAAACCTCAAGGATGATTTTGGTAATTTATTTTGTTTAGAACAAATTACTTTTTCCATCCTTGTGGTTTGTTAAAAAATCTTTTTTCGTTTCTGAGTGTTTATTTATTATACTGATAGTCCTAATTAGAGTTATTTATGAGTGGAACGACCCGTTAGACCTAACCCATCCGGCCTCTTAGAAATACGGGCTTGGACAACCATTATAGAAAAAATGGATGGGTCCGCATTTGTTCGTTAAAATTAACGGGCGGACATCAGCAATGTAAAAATAAATATGGACGGACTCGTCCAACCCGTTTATATTTCATAATTAATATTTTACCATTAATTAAAATTATACTAGTATATTTTAAAATTAAATTATTAAAGTTACAGGATGTGACTCTTTGGCTAAAGAATTATGGAGATTCTTGATCAGAACTTGGGATGTTTGAAATTGTTAGTAACATGATGGAACAATGTAAATGTGAATGTTAATGTTATATATATAAAATATGAACGAATTATTGATTTTATGGAGGTCTAATTTTTGTTTTATATTTCGATCTCCACTTGTTGAGATACATGTGTCACTTTAAATTTTAATTACAACGGTGTTTTTCCTTTTGTTTTTTTTCCATATTTGTTAATTAATTGCTAGCGATCAAGTTTATAGATTTATAAGAGTTACACTTTTTAGACCCGTTAGCCCGTGGGTGAGCCCAGGTCGTTTATAGGACGGACAATGGCAAGTTGTCAAGCCCGAGAAAATGGGTTTGGGTTTACAATATTAGGCTTGTTGGACAAAAAACACAAATTAGGCCCGGCCCGAAAATGATCACCTCTAGTCCCAATGGTTTGCATTTCGTTTCTTTTTATATCCCTGGTCAGAACAACAGTTAATCGAGTCTGTTAACTCAGAGGTATTATAGTCTTTTTATCATTTCCTTTTACTTTTTGTTTAAAATCAAACAATATATTATTATATATTAGATGTGTACCCATGCAATACAGCAGAGTTCTAAAATCTGTACTTTGTTTTGTTGTTTGTCTGTTCTCGATTTTATTTTACGAAGAAATCTAGAGATAAATTGATTATTATTTTATCTTAAACTATATATTAATATGGATTTCAAACTACAGATTATAAACTTCTTCTAATTTTTGTGATTTATTTTTTTTCAGTTTAAGTTTTATTATAATTTAGTTTTAAGATAAAAACATATTTTAATTTAGTTTAATTACGAATTTTTTTTTAAATATGACAAAGTATTTTGTTAATAGTTAAAGATCGTTTAAATTAATGATAAATATATTTAAGATATTTTATATTTAAAATTAAAGATATACTATACTTTAATAAAGAAATAAAAATGAAGTGTTGTATCTTGGATTTTCTTATGTTTATTGGTAATTATAAGGAAAGGTTCAAAAAAACTCAACGAACTATCTCGTTTTGAATGATTAAGTCTTTAAACTATTTTTTTGAAAGAAAAACCCATTAAACTTTCTTATTTTGAATGTTTAAGTCCCTAAACTATTTTTTTGAATGAAAAAACCAGTAAACATTCCTTTTTTTTAATGAGAAAACCATTAATTCATTAAGTCCTTAAACATTTCAAAAAAAAAAAAAAAACATTCGCACTTTTAAAAATTGGTTACCTACATTCTTTTAACTTTAAAAGTTACATCAACCGACTAGTAATAGTTCGATGGTTTATTTACTTCTTTACAAAAATTCAGGATCTTAAGCATTCAAAATGTGAAATTTTGATGGTTTTTTAATTTAAAACAATAATTCAGGAATTTAATCATTCAAAATGAAAAATTTTAATAATTTTTCATTCAAAAAAAACAGTTTTAGGAACTAAATCATTTAAAATGAGAAAGTTTGTTGGATTCTAGTTATATTAAGAGTTTTAAAATTTTAGATATTTTAGAAAATAATAAATGTTTCATTTTGTAGTGCTTATCTAGTATTTATGTTTATCTACAGTTAATTATACAAATTTAAACATAAAATTTTAATAAGTTATATTATGCTTAATTAATTGTAATCTTATAAAATTTTAAATAAAATACGTTAATAAGTGTTACTTTGAAACAGATAGAGGTTTTTTGTTTATCTCTTAATAGTTTCATTAAAAGACAACTTCTGAATCGTTAAGATATGAATCTTGTTTGGCAAAAGAAGAGATATGCCTCTTAATGGTTGTAAAACTCTTTGAATGATTTTGTATCATGAGTCTCTCTTAACCATTCAGAACCCTAATTTTGCTGTAAATAATTACCAAACAATTATATTTCATTTTGTACTATATCATGAGAGTCTCTTAATCATTTTGACCACTTAATCATTATGCACCAAACCATTCAGTAATTGTCAAACAGCTTTATAGACTTTGAATTGATGATGTGTTGTGTGTGTATGTGTGTGTGTTTTTGCACAAATTTGATTGAAGTCACACCCCTATATGATCCTATGTACACCAACTCAGTTCTAGTAAAAAAAAATAATGATAGGGAATGAAAATGAGAATGAATTTTTATTCATTCCAATTTAAATTAGAATAAAAATTTAGGCTCGTGAAGGAATGAAGTCATTATATTAATAAAATCAAATAATTTATTTTATTTTTATTTTTATTTTCATTAATTATTTAACAAAACTGATTTGGATTTCTAAGAAACATAATTGACTCTTCAAACATAATATATTAAAATAAATGAAGCTACTTTTTAATAAAGGCTGCAGTTGGATGCACACATGTATCCACATTATTCCACAAGTTCCAAAGCAAATAAACACTATTTGTATTGGGTGAAGCTCAAAAGTTCACAAGTCGTTTGAAAAAATAAAAATAAAAATAAAAATAAAAATAAAAATAATAGAAAGTAAAAATAGAAATGAGTTTTCATTTTTCATGGTTTGATTTGAAATTAAAATTTAGGTTTACGATATATTATATTGTATAAAATTAAACAATTTATTTTATTTTATTTTCAGTTTCATCAATTACTGTTCAATAACTCTAACCAGATACAACCTAATTTTTTTTAACTATGGATGTTTGCACCGGTTTGGATATATCTAGATTCATTTTAGAATTAAATTGTGTTCCTTTAATTTTATTTCGGTTTTAATTCCATTTAACCCTTTTATTCGGTTTTACTCCATGTATTTCTTAACTTCGATTATTTTTGGAATTAAATTTCTTTCTTTTCGTGCATGAACTTTGGTTGTTCCAAAAAGTTTACCAAATTTCATAGGTGAAACACGAAAGTGAATGGGATAATTAAGGTATTTTTAACAAAGTTCATAGATGAAACAATGATTTTTGTTTAAAGCTCATAACATTGTTTCGTGTATGAACTTTGGTTGTTCCAAAAATGTTACCAAACTTCATAGGTGAAACCAGAAAGTAAATAAGATAATTAAGGTAGTTCTAACAAAATTCTCATGTGAAACAATGATTTTTGTTTAAAGTCCATAATGTTGTTTCATGTATGAACTTTGGTTGTTCCAAAAAATTAATCAAAGTTCATAGGTGAAACAATGAGTTTTGTTTAAAGTTCATAACGTTGTTTCATAAGTGAAACAATGAGTTTTGTTTAAAATTCATACATGTTCTTTTTGTTACAAGATTTGTTGTATTTCAATGTGTGACACCAAGACTAGATCGAAGTTTAGCTTAAGAAGGTGTTTTTGGTGCTAAAAGTGGGTTGCTATTGTGAAACATGGTAGGATAGCGGGGCAGGATCGCGCCAGAAGAGTTGGTCTTAGTATAGTTGATGTGATTGTGCCATGCGATAATGGGCATGACACAATCGCAAGACAGGATCATGCCACAATAGTTGGTCTCGGTATAGTTGGTGTGATTGTGCCTTACTATAGTGCCAATAGCACAATAGCAAGGTACAAACGTGTGCGGTGCTCCAACAGAGTTAAAACTTATTTTTGGTTTTTTGGTCAAGTGTAAACTAGTGTGTGTTAGGGGCCGTTTACTTAACACTTATCCGGTAAGTACTTATCGTGTAATTTTCCTCACCTGAAGTACATGGCAAAGGTCGAAAATCTTACCCGGTAAGAGCAACGATAAGGATAGAGAGTCTTACCCGATAATTAAGTGATTGTGATGACTCTTACCCGGGTAAGCGTTTACCGGGTAAATTGTGGGGTAAATTGTTGCATACGATACCGTTTTAATATACTACAATCTTACCTGGTAAAATAGATTATAATGTAGACTCCTACCGGTAAGCGCTTACCGGGTAAGCATTTGGGTAAACGGCCCCTTACTTACTCTTCATCAGAGAACTTGAGAGATTGAATTCTTAGGGTTACATTTTGTTAAGTGCTACGATTTGAAGCTTGTAATCGATAAGAACTCATTGTATTCTCCTTTCGATATTGAATATACGAACTATCATCTCCCTATTAGACCGTATATATTGTTATTATGGTTGTATATTTCTTCCATATTTACTCTCATGTATTTTAGGATAGTTGGTTATTACCCTTGTATATGTTCTATGGATGATTGCTAATGAAGCAGAGATTCTTTTGCCAATCTTTATGGTATCAGAGCCCTCTATTCTCTCTCTCTCTCTCTCTCTCTCTCTCTCTCTCATCAGCCACAGCTGATTCATCTTCTCTGATCATTTTTTCGGCCACCGTCTTCACTTTTTCTCAATGGAGAAGGAAGATCTGATCCCTCAGAAGACCGCATCTCTCCATCCGGCTTACACGGTAACGAACATCCAGAACAAAGTTCGAGTTTTGGATGGTGTCAAGGTTACGTATTCTTCGTGGGTCAAGCTATTTCGCATTCATGCTCGTGCATACAAGGTGTTGGATCATATTGATGGTACTCGACCACCTGCTAATATCGATGATGCCTATAATCAATGGGCAGAAATCGATGCTATTGTGTTACAATGGATCTATGGATCCCTTTCCGACGACCTGCTGATTCGAGTTCTCGAACCAGACTCGACTGCTTTTGAAGCCTGGGAGAAGATTAAGAACATATTTCTCTGCAATAAAGGATCCCGAGCCGCTGCTCTAGAACATGAATTCACCAACCTCACCCTCCAAGCCTCGACTTCCTTGATGACTATTGCCAAAAACTGAAAGACTTGGCCGATCAATTGAACGATGTTAACAACCCGGTTAATGAACAACGCTTGGTCCTTCAGTTGGTACGTGGCCTCCCACCAGAGTTTGACACCGCCGCTGCCTACATCAACCAAACCCTTCCTGATTGGGACACCGCCCGAAGCATGCTACAGCTTGAACACAATCGACAACTTGCACGGGAAAAAGCAAATTCATCCACTGCTAGAGAAGCCAACGTTGTTGCTGATCATCACCAACCCAATCGTTCCGGTCGTGGACCACCCTTTTATCGCCCTCTTTCTTCTCGGCAGAACCAAGGAAGATCAAACCCGAGGGGCTCGAATCGGTTCAACCAGCATGGACAGCCTTCAAATCACTCTCATGGACAACCTTCAAATCGCTCTCATGGACAGCATTCAAACCGCTCGCCGGACACATCCTATGGATCTCAAAATGCACCGCCGTAGTGGGCTATGATTCCACCACCGTGTCCGTATCCTACTCAACAGGGATGGACCTATCCGTGGTATCCTCAGCACGTCCACAGCCTTCACACCACCGCACTTCTACTCGGCCGTTTGAACCAACTCAGCGAGCTAATGATGCTTCCCAAGCCCATGCTACCGGATCTCTTAATGCTTTGGATCCCACTGACATTGGCACTGCTTTTCAGACTATGACAATGAAACGGCCTGATGATTCTCAATGGTACATGGACACCGGTGCGTCGTCTCACCTTACGGGTGACTCAGGTATTATCGATCAATTCTCTACTCATAGTCATATAAAATCTATATTTGTCGGTAATGGTAATGATATTCCAGTTAGAGGTTCAGGTAATAATACCATTCTAACCAAACCGAAACCTCTTCGTCTTAATGATGTTTTATACACACCCGGAATTATCAAAAACCTTGTGTCCGTCCATCAATTCACTATTGATAACATTGTTTCTGTTGAATTTGATCCTCGTGGTTTTTCTGTGAAGGACCTTCAGAGTGGGAAGATCCTTACCAGACATAATAGTACCGGCGCTCTTTACCCCTTCACCACTCCGGCACACTCGCATCCTACACTTTTATCAGTGTCGTCTTCCGACTTATGGCATTTTCGACTTGGACATCCGGCCGGAAATATCATTGATCATTTGCGTTCAAGGTCTTTTATTTCTTGTAATAAGAGTTCTAGTAATACTCATTCTCTTTGTCATTCTTGTCAAACCTCAAAACACAAGCGATTACCATTTTATGATTCTATGTCTAATACATTGCTGCTCTTTGACATTATACATTGCGACTTGTGGACTTCCCTGATTTTTAGTAAAAATGGATATAAATATTATATGGTTCTAATCGATAACTTCACACAATATGTATGGGTATATCCATTAAAACTAAAATCGAAAACCTTCTCTCGTTTTTCTCAATTTCATTCGTTCATTCAAACTCAATTTCACACTAAAATCAAAAGTTTTCAATGTGACATGGGTGGTGAGTTTGATAATAAACAGTTTACAGACTTTGCTTCCACACATGGCCTCCAATTTCGTTTTTCGTGCCCTCAAACTTCCCCACAAAATGGCAAGGCTGAACGCATGATTCGCCGACTCAATGAAATAATTCTTGTTCTTCTTGCTCATGCATCTCTACCTCCTGCTTTTTGGGTTGATGCCCTACATGCTGCTGCTTACCATCATAACATAACCCCCACAAAATTACTTCACTACCAAACCCCCACCTCGATCCTCTTTTGTCGCAACCCGTCTTATGATCACCTTCGTGTGTTTGGGTGTGCCTGTTACCCTAAACTTTCAGCTACTCGTGATCATAAACTTAGCCCTCGTTCCATACGTTGTGTTTTTCTTGGCTACCCCGCCAACTATCGGGGTTATCGTTGTCTTGATCCCACAACCGGCAAAATTCATCTATCACGTCGTGTCACGTTTGACGAAACCGTCTTTCCATTTGCCACTCCTACCTCTAACACCTCCCATGACTACCGGTTCTTATCTTCTGACACCAACCTTCCTTCAACAATCCACCACTTCCAACCATCCTCACCCTCGCCACCACCACCCC